GTTAAAACACTCGACTCCAGCTACATGACGCGCAGCTGGAAACACTTCCCGCAAGTCGAGCTGCCCGATATTCACAGAATTTACAGAAAATGTCACATTTTTGTGATTTATATCGTTATCAGGATGATAGAATTCTTATATCGGGATATGAGATTTTGGTCATATCGCACAGACCTATTTAGAATTGTTCTGAAAAGTTTAAGACTGATCTGCAAGATACAACATCAGCATTAATCTGTAAGTTTCTTCAAGCATAGGAGTTGTGCACATTTATGCAATGATAGATTATGAACAGTACTTACACAAACATATACTGTAGATTCGAATATTTTTTTTGTCTTTCAATTCAGATAGAGTCACAGTTTTACCTCAGAGCTCTAAGTTATCATTAGTGAGAACCTCAACCCCTGGGCCTGAACGCTACCCCTTTCTTGAGAGATACAAAAAAAATACTCATTGCCATATTAAGCCATTTCTTTTGACAGAAGTTATATCCAGAAAAACTCCATAAAAGGTTGCAGACCAAAACAATTGCCTTACTGATTGTCTTACTAATAAGTGGGAATTCGCTCTCATGCTATTTTGCCCCATTTAGTAAATCTGGCCTTTAAAAAAAATGACAATGATCCAGTTTTATGCGTAGGGAGGCGCTTTCATATTGTGATATTGCGACTTTCACTAAAGGAACTAAAAAAGTTTTCCAGAACTTGTCATTGCCAGTAAATGGTAAGGATTTTACCATTCTTCAGGTAGAAATACAGTAGGGTGAAGAGTGCAGTATATTTAAAAGAATAAACGATGGATAGTACAAGGTGCTCTAAACTTGTGTAGTTTGTTTACTTAAACAATAGAGGAATATTTGTGCTTGTTTTTTGGATGGAGGTAGACCATGTCATTTAACAGCAGCAATATGTTGTTAAATGTCATGACATACTTGATACTGCTCTTTAATAATAATAATACCTTTAACATCACCACAGAAGCCAAAAAAGTGATATGTTGATTTTTTTTATTATTTACCTTCCACCAGAGGAAATCTTCCTCTGAAGGTATATGTTTCTGTGACAGAAAGGGTACAGGAGCTTCACTGATGATGTCATTAAACCAAGGATCACTGTCTCTTAGACATTTCTGACAGCCACAAAGACTCGGCTCGCGATGACAGAAGGTATATCCAGAAAAACTCCATAAAAGATTGGAGACCAAAACAATTGCTGTGATACTCAGTAGCGGGAAAATGCTAACTCTGGATCTTCCCCATTTGAAATACATCTTGGCAGAGTTCCAATCTGAGAACAAATACATGTATGAATGTGAAAAATAGGACTAAGCCTTTAGAATACAGTAATAGAAACAATAACTCTTTACTTATAAATATTTATAGTTTGCAGCATATTAAGAGCATTGCACTGGAATGCACAAAATCGGATAAGCATAAAAAGTTGGTTAGTGTCCTCTTATATTCATGGCATTTGAACAGATAGCATTTACCAGCATAAATCACCTCCCACATTATTAGTTCATGTAAGTAACAAGATCTGTTGTTTGAAGTTGAATAAAACAGTATGACACCCAACAGAATGGAAAACACAGTACAAAATATTTCTAGATCTTGGTCAGATTCTGCATTTGCATGAACTGTTTATCTCATTGTTTTCTCTGCTTACCTCTGTTGCTGTTGAAAAACTCCTGTTCAGTTAAACTTTCATTGTGGTTCTGGTGCTGATTAACCTAAAATGAAGTAACATAGCAGCAAAAACAACACAATGATTAAAAAGCAAAACAACTCAAAATGGCACTCATTAAAATTATCCCATTTGCTTCTGAAGAATTTGACTACACAATATGAGGCCACTCTATTTGAGGCAGAACAAGATAAATTGCTAAACTGTTTGAAAAAATAGG